AGCCTAGATGTCCATTAGCAGATGAATGGATGTAAAATGCAGTAGTTACACATAATGGAGTGCTATTCTGCCGTAAAGAAAGATACACTTGAGTCATCTGTAGAAAATTGTTGCACTTTGAGACCATAACGTTAAGTAAAATAAATAAGACAAATAAGCTTAAATATCACATGGTTTCTCTTACATGAGAAACCCAAATTATAAATAAAGAGCAAAATAAAAGATAGATAATAGGAAGTATGGAGACAGATCTTTCTCAAATGGAAGGGGGATCGAGAGAAGGAAGAAGAGAAGGAGGAAAGGCAAGGAAAGAGGATGAAATAAGGAATTGAGATGTGTTATGTATATGTACCAAATCTACACAAGGAATGTAAATACTACAAACATGTACTAATAAAAATGAAAAAGAAATAAAAGTGGTATTTATTCCTAGAATGTGAAGGTAGTATATGAAAACCGATTCATATACTGTACCACATAAACAGAATGAAGGAGAAAAACCCACATTATCCTCAGAAGTTAGAACAAGTATTTGAAAAAAATCAAGCTATTCATGACAAAACACTCAACAAACTAGGATGGGAAAAAGCTACCTGAACATCATACAAGCTATATATATATAAAAAATCCATACTGAAAAACAGGCAAATAGATCTGCTTTTGCAACTTCTGTTCAACACAGTATTGGAAGGTCTGTCCAGAACAGTTAGGCAAGAAAAGTAAAAAGCATCCAAGTTGTAAAGAAAGATGTAAAACTATCTCTGCAGATAATCTAATCTTATATGTAAAACTACTAAAGAGCCCACAAGGAAAAAATGTTTTAAGTAATAAATGTATTTGGCAAAATATCAGAAAAAAATTAACATACAAAAATCAGTTGTATTTCTATATACAGTGGTTCACAAACTTAATTTGTTTTACAATTTTGGGGAAGATGGCTGTGGTTGTGTTTGTCATTTGATGTGCAGTTTGTGAATAGAAGCAAAATTCTGTCAAATGCATTTGTTGGAGAACTGAATTGTTTGGGAACAGAAGTGTTTGTGAACAAGGCATTACTACAGTAACAATGAACAATCTGAAAGGAAATTGTGAAAACAATTCCATTACAATATTCAAAAAGAATAAAATACTTGGAATTAACTTTCCTATAAAAGTGAAAGACTTGTGTAATGAAACATTAGTGAAAAAAACCCAAAGAAGACATACATAAGTGAAAAGGCAGCTGATGTTCACAGGCCAGAAGATTTAATACTGCTAAGATGTAAATGCTAGCCAAAGCAATTAACAGTTTCAATGCAATACTATCAAAAGCTCAATGACTTTGTTATAGAAAAATCCATCCTAAAATTCATATGATCCCAAATGATAGCCAAAACAATCTTAAAACACCAGAATAAAGCTGGAGAACTCACACTAATTCCTAATTTCAAAAATTGCTACAAATGTATTATAAATAAACAGTGTGATACTACCAGAAAGAAAGATATATAGACCAATAGAATAGAATAAAAAGTCCACAGGTAAAATTCTCCCATACACGATTTTGACAAGATCAAATGAGTTTCGCCCACAGTCCCAAGAAAAGCTTACCAATGTACACTCCCACTAACAGCTTCACATCACCTGTTTCTAGGAAATTAGTCCAAGGTATGATTTCACTAACAGTGAGATCAAAGATTTTTCTGTATATTTATCGGTCATTTGTAGTTTTTATTTTGTGAATTGTCTGACTGTGACTTTTGCTAGTTTTTATTTGGGGTATTTTATTTATTGATTATGAATTTTATATATTAGATGTATCAACTCTTTGTATAACTTATGGTGAAAATGGCAAGGCTGTTGGACTAATTTACTAAAACTTTTCTCCAGTGATTTGAAATGCTACCCTTATTGTATACTAAATTCATATATATGCATATGATTCCTAGGTGACATACATCATGTTTAAGAATATAGATTCTAAAACCAGGCTGCTTTGACTCAATTCCAAGCTCTCAGATAGAGACTAATTTTTAAAACATCAAAATCTCAACAGTTATCTAAAGTCTAGCATTGTTAATCTGATAAACTATATATTATATAAAAGGAATACTATATAAACATCTGAAAAGTAATATGAAATACACACTAGAAATTCTAGTTACTAAGTCATTACAATATGCCAAGGTACTTCACATCTTTTAACTCATTTGGTAAAAACAGTGTGCATTATTGTTACCAATTCATAGGTGATAACATGGAGGGAAATAGAATCAGAAAAATTACCCCTAAATCATTTACCTAATAACTGAGAACACTTGGAATTGAATCAAAATGCCTTGGATATTAAAAAAAAAAGTCAATAGGAGGGTGCTGGACCTGCAGAAATTGGCCTGAAAGGACCCATCTTTTTATCTACTTTAATATTTTTATCTAGGAGCCGTGTCTCTTCTGTTTATTCTTTACACTGCAGTCTAAGTGATTATTCTTTAAACAAGGAGTCAGCAAACTATGGCCCATCATAGTTTGACTGAATTTAAGGATGTTTTTATTTTCAGTTTTAAATCATTTAAAAAAAATCATCACAAAAGCTGTACTATGTGATACTTGAAAATATTATGAATTTCAAATTTCAGAATGTGGAAATGGAATTTCATTGCAACACAGCCAAACTTATTTGTGTATGTATTTCTGAGAGCTGCTCTTGGTTTATACTGTTGAGTACCTGCAACAGAAACTGTATGGCTTATACAGTGTAAAATTATTATCTGGTCCTTTACATAAAAAGTTTGAAGCTCTCTGGTCAAAACTATGATATTACAACTCTATTTAAAACATTCTATCAATTTACCATACCCTTTGAGTTAAATTCTAACTCCTTTATGTGACATACAAGGCTCTTCTAGTCTCAGCTCTCTGCTTTCTAGCCATATCAACTTTCTTGTCATGCCGTATGTCTTGTTATCTCTTTACCACTAATAGATGCTAAGGCAAAACACATCATTTTCAAGTTAACTGATGTTTTTGTGATCACTTTGGTATTATTTTTAGTCTTGAAGAATGAGATTTCTTAAGTATAGAAAATAACTCGGAATTAAGTATAATCTTATTTATTTTATATAATTTCATCTCCAAGAGAGTAAGATTTCTTAGTATATAGGCTATAAACTTTTGGCTAGATGGATTTAAATAGTAAGAATCAATTAGAAACCATGACAAATTCTTTTAAATAATACCAATATGGAGCCTCATATATATGTAGTGGGTTCACAAATTTAAAACTGAACTCTAAAGCTTCAATGCTATATTTTGAATTTCCTTAAAGGAGACCTTGGGCTATGAGCAGAGTTTTATATGAAGAATGAAGATGCAGCATTCTGCATAAAATGACTCTACTTTTGCAAATAAAAAGGAAATTAAAACCATTCTTTTCTCTTTGTATTTTACATTTTTATCTTTTATATGTAAAAATCCTTATGTGTTAGCCTATCAGCAGAAATTTTATTCAGAGTAAGATTTGAACTAAAATGGAGACTTTACAATGGTATTGTGCTAATCTGAGATATGATTTGAAATGCTAAAACAGACATGATTTGAAATAAAGTTTAGAAGGTGGCATTTATGATTGTTTGTTAATTAATAATTAAAGCAGAAATAAAACTCTACTTGCCTAGAAAAAGGCTAGGACTGTTCACATAAAAAATAAAAACTGTAAAGAAAATTTACCTTTTTAGGGTGAGTAAGCAGGAGGAGTGAGAAAGCAGAGATATCAAGGAAATTTAATGGGATCAGAAAATCTAAAAAGTGTTATAATTAAATTTTTGACATTGTGATGTCTGCATGTATAGATTTTTATGAAAATGAAACTGAAATATACTATGTCTGCTCTGTTAGACACAGCAAAATATAGATGAAATAAAATAAAATGTTCATACTTCTGAAAGTAATTAGAAATATTTATTCATGATCAATGAAAGTAAAATTCAATTGAATGATATAAATTTAGAATTTAAGTATCCAACATAATCCAAAAACAAATGACCTAATGTGATGGACATATGCTAGTATCTAAAACATGAAAGCTTAATTTAAATTACAAAATGTCTTCTTGTTGTGAGAAGATTCAGGTAAAAGAGCCTTACAGAAGTTCTTGCTTTCAAGAAGATTTGCTGAACTGTTTTGTTGATAACAAACCATAATGGAGCAAATATGCTGGGAAACCAGGAATGGACCTTGCCTTTGCTCATCTCACCTTACTGTGGCAGAAGATCTAAAAACAAGAACCTGATACAGGCACAAGGATTATAAGGAACTGGTCAGTTTTACTGTTCTATAGCTAATAGATGGAAGAACTAGAGTATATGTGAATTTTATAACCTCTTAAATTCACATTGATCTATGGTTACTTAAAAAATACAAATGATCACTCTAGGAGGCTGAGGCAGGAGGATCACAAGTTCAAGCCCTGCCTGGGAAAATTAGCAACTTAGTGAGACCCTGTTTCAAAATTAAAAATAAAGTGTGCATGGGGGGGTATGGATGCAGGAGTATCACAAAAATAAATATCAAATTACACATGAGAACATTCATAATTTATTACTTCTCACTGAAAGCCAAGCAACAAATTGAGCATAATCGAGATCTGTGGGACATGTTTGTCTCATGTTTTGGCTTCTGTATCTCTATTTTCCAGAGAATGGATTAGAAAGACATTTAGGCTTATTAGATAGAAATTCATTTCCTCACATCAAGGTACGAGAAGAGAAAAGTTTCATGAATTATAAATTCTCAGAAAAAAAAAAGATCCTTTGGGCCCAGCAAAGAAAATGTTAACAAGTCAAAACATACTAGATGGCTATTGACCAAAGATCCAAAGCTCCAAAGCTCCAAGCCAAGATGGAATAATGCTTCCTCACATGTGTTAAAGTCTACAAATGAAACTAATCCTTTTTAATTGTCAAAAACGCTGACAACTTAGCCTGAGAACTGAAGGCACAAAGTCATCTCTAGGAATGACTCACCATAAACAGGTCTCGAGCACCAATGTCAACAGCTAGGAGAAATGCCTTTTCAAACCTTTGGTACCTATAAAGAAGAAAAAGAAATGTATGTTATATGAGAGAAGAGAGCTATTTAATTAATTTATTTGCTATTGCTTTCATTCTTCTGATGGGAAATATATTTTTAAACAGAATGGATTTGGGCTGTTAGAATGTTCTGTATGTGAAATGTTACTGAACTTAAGCAAGAGCAACAGCATAAAGCCTATGGAGGTTATAAGTATAATTTCCAAGGATAACCATAACCTCAAGTAGACACTGCTTACAAAACATGTTTTTTATAATTTTTACTTTATTGTGTTTTATAAGAGAAAATTATGGGAATATGGAGAATATAGGATAAGAGCAAGTTATAATTACATCACAAAAATTTTGAGTTTCTAAGGTAAAAGATGAGAAATTAAATATTACGTTACTAAAAGTGCCTCATATTCATGAGTTTAAAAAATTCCTGGCTATAAATTATTTTCATATTTTAAAAAATATATTACCTTTCTAATATTTCCCAAAATCATATTCTTTCCCGAAAATATAATTTTACAAATTTCTTTGTCAAAGTTTAATTTTAGTCTAAGATATATGAGAACAACATGCAGTTTAAAGGAATTACCTCTACCCAAAGCTTCAGATCTTAAGAGAAAAGCATGTCATAAACATATACTTAGCACAGATTTTTGGAATGAAAGCTGGTCTTTATTTTGTCTGGGTGCTAAGATTTACATAGATATAAATGTCAGTTTTTCTGATTTTAGCTAGGAACAAGCAGTTATTCTCTGTTCCTTAATTTATATTGTAAAACTTGATGGTAGAAAATCTAATGATCTCAAGTAAAAAAATAGCACGTTTTCAATATTATTAATAGATTACTATTTTATTAGTGAAATAAAATAATTAAAAATCAAATAAGCAAGGCTTAATAATATTATATGTGAGCTGTGAGATACAGAACTTGAAACACTTGTGGAATATCCAGCAGTCTGATAACTGCCACCCCCATTTCCTCCTTGCCCTTGTTATTTATTTATTTATTTATTTATTTATTTATTTATTTATTTATGCTGTGGATTAGAATCAAGGCCTAAAGCTTGCTAGGCAAATGCTCCATCACTGAATTAATATCCCCACTTTTCTTATCCATTTTTAGTAGTACCTCTTGTATTTGTCTAGATCCTCTTAGCTATAGAAGTTCAGAAGGCAATAATGCTTATTTTTGTGGAGGAAGAGTGACTGGGAGCTTAGTGCTTTACTACATATTGAGTGACAATGAAATACACTGAGGAAAAAGTCAGAGAATCATTAAGTTGTACTGTAGATCATGCATTTACTGCCATTTCACATTGGCCTACTCCTCTCTATTCTGGCAACAGTAAGAACCCATCTTTAATGATTAAAATTAAAGATCTCATTTTGTATGCCCTTTGGTCACGTCTAGTCCTATAAACCATCTTTTGGTCATATCTAATTCTTCCTTGGCTTTCCTTTATTCTTGTTTCCCTATTTCCTAGCCTATATCTTTTTTTTTTTAAAACAGGGTTTTCTATGTAGTTCAGGCTGGCCTTGAACTCACTATGTATCCCAAGCTGGCCTCAAACTAATGGCAACATTCCTGCTTTAGTCTCCTGAGTGCTTATATTACAGTCATGCACCACTATGCCTGGCTAGAGTGTATCTTCTTAGTCTCCTTTTCTAGTTCATTTTTCTTTACATCCCCTTGAAGTTGGTGTCTGAAGTTGGTGTCCTACAGTCTTTTATATATTTCTGTGCATTCCAGTCTATTCAGTAACCTTAAACTATCATGGTATTGATAATCAATTACATAAACAAATCACAAATCTACAGTTTTAGGATTCAACTCTCCTTTGAGCCCCACACTATTTCCAGGCCCTCGAACTTAACTTTACATGCCCATTTTAACATCATTTTGGCAACTATACATAGGACAAATTAAAATTGGAAAGAGTGAAATTTAGGGAGATAATAAAGGATGAGCTCATTGTCCTATGTGAAATATGATAAGTGTTACGATAAAATGAAACTGGCAATGGCATTTGGCAGTGTGGTGAATTAGAAATGCCAGAAACAACTCTCAACTAGATTATTTAGAAAATATACTTTAAAGTATATAATAAGAGTTTTAAAAAGTAAGGAAATTTTTTGATACAGGGGAATTGGCAGATAATTATTTCAATTTCTTCCTACTTCCTTTTAATCTGTCTTCTATTTTGCTCTTCATTTGTATACATATATATTTTTCTCATATAAAAGTTTTGTCCTTTATTAGTATACATTTGCAATTTATGTTTACATTCACTTTAGAAAGTAGGTACATGAACTTAACACATCTTTTTTTAAATCCTCTTCCTCTCCCTTTTCTCTTTCTTTATTTTACAAAAAAATAAAACAAAAATTCATATTTAAATAAGTGAACAATAGTTAAACTATTATACTGTGTATAGTTATCTTTAAAGTAGATACTCAGAGTATAAGATATAAACCAAAATGATTCTTATAAACAAGAAATGAAAAGATGACACAAATCTTTCTTTTCAACAAACTGAGAGTATAAATGAAAAGTTTGTGTTATAACCTGTTTCTTCTTTGTACGAATCTTTTTTGTTTATAAGTAACTACTTTGAAGGTAATGATGCATAGTGTATTAACTATTATTCTTTTGTTTTGAAATTTTATTTTTCATAAAATAATATTAAAATTAAAAAAGACAAAAATTGAAGGGTAGGGTCATCCGAAGACTGACTTGAACAAATCTCAAGGTAAAGATACTAAAGCCAAGGCTTCTGATTAAGCTGCAGGTTAAAAGGAATCCAGATGAGTAGTGTTCCTAACTTTAGAAAAAACAAACAAAAATTAATGTCTGTATTAAATGCTTTTGACAGAGGACCCAAAGGATTCAAAATTGAAATCAGGGCCAGGGATTTAGCTCAGTGTCGCTGCACCTGCCTGGCAAGTGCAAGGTCCTGAGTTTGATCCCTGATA